ACATAATATAATATAATGTAATATAATATAATATAATATAATATAATATAATATAATATAATATAATATAATATAATATTTCTGAACGCCAGATACGAGCTAAGTTTAGGTCATTTCTCCGTTGACTTATAATTTCGTTAGCAGAACCATAAGAACAGCTACTGCTTCCCGGCAACTACCCCGAGTCTCCAAGTAGGGGTAACAGATGTCAAAGCGGTAGTGCTGCCATGCTGTAATGGTTGATTCCAGAACCGAGGCAACACAGATCTGCATAGACATCCAGGCCTGTAACGCCAGACATCAAATGAAGGCAGAGAGCCGACTTTCCCACATCTTCGGCCTTCGGCCGTTCGAGGGTCTCGATGGTTGGGCTTGCCAGGTCAGGTTCTGGGTTTAGGTTTCAGTTAGGTAACCAACGACTAAGACAACGATTACGACTGCTGCTACTACTACAACTACGTTGTCGTTGTCGTTGTGGTTGTGGTTGTCATTGTCGTCGTCGTTGTTGTTGCTGTTGTTGTTCAGTTGTTGTTCAGTTGTTGTAGCTCTGCTTGTAGATGTAGCTGCAGTTGTAGCTGTTCTTGTTGTTCTTCTTGCTGCTGTTGGAGCATGTTGGAGCGGTAGAAGAAGCAGTAGTGTTCGTGCTTATGCAACAAGCGGAAGGTGACCCGGGTCAGCAATCAGCTTTTTTTGACAGCTCATGCACATGCATCGGTAGGTGTCAAGCGGGTGATCTTGCGAAGCACGACATCATGCACGTGGTGCACTAAAGTAGCGAGCATGCTTGTATGGCACCATTTTTGCATGCTACTTCTTGTCCAAAAGCGGCAAACGCGTGATGCTGCGACCCTCAGATAGTGGTGGCTAGCCTTGCTCTGTAGCCCGAAAAGCGACTCATGGGTATCATCTATGCGTGTCCGCGTTCGCGTTCTGCATTCGCACGCCGCTTTCCCAGCCTGGCCACGCCGGCCCGGACACGAACCAAACTCGGCGCGACCCCTCCCTCCCATTCAGTTCACTCTAATTCCCAGTCAAAGGCCTTGTGAAGGTGAACGAAATCATGCAAGTCCTGATTTTTCACTTGAGCCATTCATGTACTGAATCTCGAAATGTTCAATGTGAGACATGCCGGGCGAATATGTGGAGTAAAACACACAACGATTGTTACGATTCGCATGATACAATCTACAGGTTGTTCCGGAAATCCCAACACAGAGCACTGTCAGCCAAGTGGCATATAAAGGAGCGCTCAGCGGAGCATTCTCAACCTGCTACCAGGACCCTAGCAATTACAACCTAAAGCCCCAGTAAACCCTAAAGCCTACCTCGAACCCCCCGTCTAAAACCGTACAAACCGGGCAGCCGCATAAAGGATTTGGCCGATCTGGAACCCTGAACTATGCCTTAAGCCTGAAGCAGTCTAATGAGAATTTAGGAAGAGAGCATCGGAATCTTTACAGTGAGTTGTAGATCCATTAAAGCCCTCTGTCCTCAGATCTCGCATCTAGAACATCACGCTCAAGGCTTCAGGCTGCTCGCAAAAACCGAGGCCCTCGAAGCCAAAACACTTGACAACACTCGCAGAACTGAGCATCGCCCCTGAACCTGAAGCCCAAAACCACATGCAAGACATCAAGACCAAGCTACTTGTTTTTCCCATGTCAGCAACTCACACATGTACAACAACGCCGTATGTTTCCCTGAGAACGAAAACCTGAGGTCCCCATATCAACCTCGGAGCAAAGCAGAAGTTGTGCATCCAAGTGGCTGAGTAGTCCTAGGCTGACGGCTCGGAGAGGACAAAATAGCGTTTCAAGGCATTGGGCTTTAGGCTAAGTAGGGCTTCACTACTTGATTTGGGTTTTGGGGTCTGTTGGGTAAGTTGAGCCGTCTCGAGCATCTTTGTGGGGGCTCGGGGCTAAGGTTGAGAGGTCGAGGCTGCTCGTTAGGGTTACGTATGGATCGAAGATTTGGGGGTTTTCGGGGGTATGAGAAGTTGGGGTTTCAGAGAAAGCGACTTGGGATGAATCATCCAGAATTCAGTCCAAAGTTGCAGCTCCCACGCAGGCAGCATTTCTGAGGCCAGAATTCTCGAAACCTAAACCACTTCGCAGCGGTGCCTGATTCAGCAACTGCAAAAGGGGAGGTAAAGGGTCCCGAAACGTCTTCGAGGCGGCGGCTAAGCGGCTAAACGGCTAAACCTCCCACCCCCCATCGCGTGCTTTGGGGTTTAGTGCGCGCAGCTTGGATTCTACTGTAGCATTTGCGCCTGACACTTCGGAGTTGTTGAACTTCGTGCTTCCTTTGAGATGTGTCCTGGAAATGTTGGAAGAATCCGACGGGCTTATGATCGTCAGGCCGAAGCCGTACCTGGACCCCTGAACCTACTGAGCATGGCTTCATCGAAGGCTTCGAGGTGTGAAATGTTTAGCGGAGACCGTCGAAAGCTAGGCTTTGCGCTAACCTGTAGCGAGCCCCCTGCTGAGATGCAGGCTTCCACAGATAAACCATGACGGTCAATGCCGCACAAATCAACCCCAACGGCGTTCAGCCAGATAACATAAGAAAAGTTTGACGACCACGAAAGATGCTATAATGGAAATCCTAAACGCTTGACAATTGCAGGATCGTACGGTATTGTTTTCGGGCGGAACGCCAAAAGTATCAGAATCAAAAGCAAAGTCAGGTTCGAGGGACGATTGCCCGCTCGATGAAGGTCTTTTCGCCATCCCCACCGATGGCCTGGGTGTCACAGCATGAACGCCAAATTCTGCACACTCTGATGAGGCATACAGCATCCTACACATGCTCGCTTGGGAGACTTCAAGCTGCCACACAGCCGCAAAGCACTGAAGTCCGAAAGACCTGAGCTTCCTGAACCTTTCTGCTTAGAAACATAGCCTCAAAGCCAGCCGTAAACTCAGAGACAGAGACACAGAGAGAGAGAGAGAGAGAAACAAAAAGCGAGTGTGTGTGTGTGTGTATGTGCGTGTGTGTGTGTGTACGGTCTTAACCCTACAAGACTTTCGGACATTAACCGCACCAGCCAAGAGACCGAGGCCGCACGGGATTTCAATGGACCGGCAGAGATCGTGTTGATTCGGATGCCATACCTCGCTTGAAGGTCTTAGGATTAAGTGCTTAGGGGATGAAGAAGTTTCGGGCGCAGGGCGGTTCAGGCACGAAGGGGCTCTCAGGTTTAGATTTCAGCGGGTTGTTCGGACATCTGAAAAAGGTTGCGACAGGGAAGTGGTTGACGTTTGTGTGGTTTGAGCAGGACCGCGTAATGTGCTTCGCTAGCACACTGGGGGGTCTTTCTTATACTTCCGGAAACCAACTTCGTGAGGTTGACGGGTTTCGTCTGTCCGAGCGGGGGGTTCATAGTCCTTTCTTTTGTTGGTCTATGAAATTGGGCTGAAAGGCTTCGAGATTCTCGTTGGGTTGGGAGCATGTGGGGGTGGGCTGCTTTCGCAATCGGAATGGCAGACTGATAGTGCGAGAAATCAAACATTCAGGCTTGGGTCTTTTGGTGCTTACTTTCGCCCTGCTGAGAGCTGTGAACGTAGCCTTGTAGTGTCGCGTTCTGGAAGTTGTTAAGAAGCACCGGATTTAGCTGTAAGATTAACACCTTGTGTGCTCTTTCTGTCGTTCTGGCCACGTGCCGAACCCGTAGCATCGATTCCAACAAACACTGCAGAAATGACTCCCCATGATTCGGCAGGGCCCAAAAGCTGCTTTTAGCACGGATCTTCAGAATGCCTTGGAGCGATATCGAACTAGTCCAGCTTTGCTGAGCATGATGGAGTGATGCGCCCTTTTGTGTCCGTCAAGGGGCATTGTTCTTATCGGTACTACTCGTACTTTCGAGTACTGTTCTGGCGAGTGACGGCTAGTGTTCCGACCACCAGCGCGGCGGCTACGAAAGCGGTTGTCGACATGCTTGCAATCGAAATTACCAAGCTGCGCCCTCAAGCCCCACCTCCAGCCAAACATCCGCCGCGGGCCTCGCACCTGTACTCCTCAGGCCTCTCTCTCCAAACTCCCTTATTACGAAAATGCTCAAGTGTGCATTGCTAGCACAATTTCCAAACCGTGAACGCCGGATAAAACAAAGCCAACTGACACAAACCTTGTAAACTACAGCATTTCACCCTGGATACCCTTCGCACACCCTTTGACAGTCTCTGCATCCCTTGTCCCCCAAACCCCGAACCCAACCGTGGATTCAAACTTCTCTTTGGAACGTTGTTTGCAGTCTGGCTGCTTGCGCCCAGCCTCTGGTTTAGGGTTTCGAGTTCACAGTGAGATTTAACTATTGACACTTGCACCCTACATCGATCATTAGCAAGCATCTTTGACACATTTTTCGGCAGCAAGGAAGTCTCCGATCGCAGGCTGAGAGGCAGGTCGGTTGAGGTGTTGTGGGGTTGAGGCCTACAGCATATAGCAACACCCCAACTCGGTCACTGCACTCTTGCAGCATTCGCCAGTGAGGTCATGCTAGGTTTCTGGCTCCAGTGGCTTTGGACATCTTAATTAATAACCCACAGCTCAAACCCGAACCTCAGTAAGTCCACCCGATCCTGAACTGCAGACGAGCGTCCTGGAGTCTGTCTTACAGGTAGGATGCTTTCTCCCCCTCACCCTCACCCTTCCGCAAATGACGTTTTAACCTCAATGAACATAAAGATGGGTGTTAGGACCTATTTAGATTTTGTGTGTTAGAGTTGCAGGGTGTCGGGCTAGGGCCAAACTCAGCTCAGAAGTCACTACTGCAGATCTCTGGTCCCCGTTCTTGATCCCGGGATGCGCAGTCGGCGTGTTTGTGCATTGTCTATTAATAGCTTAGCCCCAAGCAGAAACCGCTCCAGGAATTGCATCGTGGCCCTGCTCCAGAAACCATAAGCCCTGAAAGCTACCTAGGAGCAGGGTGGGTCGCCCGGAATGGACCATCAGTCTTCAAGCCCCTCATCGAACCCCTAGCTCGGAACATGAGCCAGGCATCTTCGTATGCGAGAGTTCTTGTGTCGGACTCCAGCTGAGCCTGCTATCACGACTGTTGGGCTGATCTCATGGCGTCTGAGGCGCCGGGCTTAAACCCTACTCTCGCGCGACAAAAGTGGGGATGATACATGCTTCTCACAAGTTTTCACAGCTGAGTAAAGATCAATACCTTGTGAACGGGTGGAAATCTGGACCGCAGCATCTGAATCCGTGTATACGACCTAGCCGTTGATGCTTTCGTAGTGATGGGTTGGTGCGGCTATTCTCGGGAGCTCCTGTGGAGCTTCTGTACGGCAGCCCCGCAAACTCAAGAAACAAGGCGAAGAAGTGTCGACAGAAGCTCGCTGACTGGTTCGACCGCTGTTGTCTCGTGCATGACAAGCATTTTATGGACAGAGCATCTAGCTGCTGCATACCCCCGTCTGATTCGGGTGCTAAGCCTGAAGCCGTACATTCCAAGAGTCTACAAAGCATCCTGGCCGTTTTTAGATAGCATACCTCGACGTTTCATGTCATCATCTTGTTTGATGCTCTGAACTGAAGGGTGTGGTGCAATTGCGTGCTCCTTGAACGAGTGTGTAATCCCAAGACCTAAACCTCGAAACCTTGAACTCCCACCGGAACCGAAACATCAAAGGCTGTGCCCCTGGGCTCCTTGGCACTGCTCATGCCACCTCCGTAACCGGGGATTGTGCGAACCTCAGCGGTTCCTAAACGCACAAGTCGGAGAAAGGTGGGTAGTGACGGCTAGTATGGTTTCGAATGCTGGAACGTAGGGCCGGTGGGTAGCAGGGTGCCACGGTAAGCCGCTCAGATGCCGGCTTGTTCACAGCATGTCATTGACCTACTAGGCTGCTCAGCCTCCTGTCGAGTTGCTGTGTCAAGGCAGGTCGTTCATAACGCCCATGCGGTTCGCATTTTTTGGCAGGTCATTGTCTAGGGTTGCTTCTACAATATGTTGCCAATGATAGCCCCTTCTGCCGGAGCAGCAGTAACAATGAATATGGGTGAAATGCGTAAAAGCCACGGTCGAAACTCGAAGTTGGCGCTAGTCTGAGGGTTTCGGTCGTCAAAGATGCCCGCATGGTCTTACAGGTTGGGCTGGAATCTGCTCTTTGAATAGAGCAGAATGTTACAAGTGATGCGAATCATGGCTGCATACAAGACCAGGAAGTGCCACTTAAGCATCGTCTCCTGCAGCCTTTGCCCCTGAAACCGTAAACACTATGGCCCCGCGGACCATGAGGCTTATATAAGGCTTTCGCCGCGGCTCGTTTGGGTGCTCTCGGCTGTCCTGATCAGGATCCGATTCTCCTCTGTGACTGGTGGGTGGTGGGTAACTTCTGACCCGAAACCAATTCATGAAATGATAACCTATGACCTAAGTCCGATAGGTGGGCCATGGTGGGCAATAAAGAATAAGTGCAATCCGCGAAACAAAACAACCAAGTTGCCCGCCTACACGCATCGAAGCCCCCAACCGAGAGCTTTCAGATATCCAAAGCTCTGCACACGCAACTCGCACGTCCCTTCACCCAGCGGCTGCCGCAACATAGGAGAGAGAGAGGACGGAGCTGCCCTCCGGCATGATGGGCCCGAATCCTAGGACAACTGTTTCCTCACGCACATAACTCGGCCTTCATCGACCCGAAGCCTCGAGGACACATAGGAGGCGGTAAACTTTGAAAGCCTGAACCAACCCAGAATACCGAAGCCTGCGGCCCCGAGGGTCGACTTCGAAGGGGGAGGTAGGGAGAAGTGTGCTTGGTATACTGGGGCTTTCCGGAATCTTCCGGCCCCGCCATCCTTTGTGGCTTAATGTGTCGCATTCTTACTTTTGATCTCTCCCTAGCCTCCCACGTTCCGAAAAGGTAGGGCACCTAGCCCAAGGTTTGATAAGAGCATGCTCCTATGGCGGCCATGCTGCGCTGGACCATTGAGACCAAGGAGTAGGCTGAGGCCGAGGACGCAGCCAAATAGCCCTGGCTGTCTACTATGGCTAGACTTGGCTTCTGGCTTATGGTCAACGTGTTTTTGTTGTCTTTCAACTACAGCCTGGACTCCTCCTTGTTTGAAACAACAGGTCCGAATACTCTCAGGGTTTGCCCCTCTCCCTGCTTCTATTTCAGCAGAGAGCCACCAAACTCATGTTTTGGGGGCATGTTTTCCCGGTAGCGGGCAAGCCCCGACAGGACATTCGGTCCAAAGCCCCGGATACACGAAAGTATCATACATTACATTTCCGGGGAGAACACCATGCTGGGAAAAAATCAGCTTGGGGTCTACGTTTCATAGCACTGAGTGTTACAAATTCTGACCAAATTGAGCTGGTTTGGGCTCCGGGGATGGGAGCCCACCCCAGCGATTCGTGCTCTTGTTTCACAGTCCAAGTGTCGCACGCTTCATACACTTCTATTGCAAATGCTTAGACCCGCCCATATTCCACTGCCGAGTCAGCGTTGAAGGCTGTGGGCATGAAGATATCCATGCGGTATAAACTACGGATACCAAGTTTTTAGACCGATACGGGCTGTAAGATCAACCCATCGGAACGTGAATTTGTAGAGCCTAGAGTGGCCTAGAGCTGCAATTGCACACAATCCTGACCATCAAAATGCTTGACCCTTGTTCTATCCCCAAACAGTCTTGATTTAATGTGAAGATCCTTGCCGACTCGATCTGAATCCTGAAACCTCACCCGCAAGCACCTTGCGGCTTGTTTCCAGAAGAGGCTTCGTCACTTCCGGACCGTTCGCAAGGGAGTGCACGAGGATGTCGATCTGCGTTCGAGGCAATGGGCTATGGATTGAGGTCGTTGGGCTTAGGTGTAAAGTGTAAAGGTTTTCGAGCACTAGGGTTCGAGCAGACAGTCGGTACATCTCGGAGACCTTCACCAGATTCCGATGGTTCGGCGCTTAAGATGGTCTCCATGATCTTGACATAGTTCTTCTTGTAAACTCCGAGTGGAAAGAAGTGCTTGAGAATCAAGCCACTGGAACAGGTATTACTACCGTGAGGGGCAAAGAACCTATCATGACAAACTCCCGATGCAGCAAGGGCGAGAAGTCGTGCTTTATAGAAGTACTCCTGGCACAACAAGTGCTTGAAAAGTTCCGAATGAATCCTGCTTAAATTCCCAGCAAAAGCGGGCAATGCCTTCCCATAGTCTTTCTTGACAGCCTCTGCAACTTCCTGTCCAGGTGGGGCACAGTCCCAAGGGATATAACCCCCGCCCGGACATCGAAAAGATTATCTAGACAACTGAAGATCGGTTTAGGCTTTACGATGTCTGGCCGACGTCGACGCGGACGGGACGCGACGGGACACGTAAAGCAGGTGAAGGGTGCGGGGTTGATGGCTTGCCTAAAGAATTGAGATTGGGGGCTTACTGTACATAACTGTCTGTCACCAAAACGGCGAGCATGTGTTTATTCAGCGACGATGTCGTTCTAAACTGGCTTCCAACAACGGTAACGCAAGAAAAGCACGAATAAGGCGCTGCAAACCACAGACGGTTTTTGGGAGTGAGGAACATCTTAAAGTCCTTCTGATGATGATCTTCAGAATAACTAGCTGTGCGCGCGTTCTGTGGTTTCGCTTTCCTCCAGACTGAGCTATGCCATCTTTTCTGACGAGCAGAACTCGGTGGGCGGTGTTTCAGGCGAAAGAGCGCCCAAGACCAGGCCTACGAACCTCTGAACCCGTGATACCTCCAAGTCATCGGCCTGGTCGCCAGTGCATACTTTCCTTTCTCCCACCAGTTCCGAGACTTGCTGTCCAAAGAGCGACTTGCGGCCTACGATTAGGAGATATTAGGGGTGCTTGTCTGGGGGTCTTCTCTCGCCCAAAGCCTACAAGCTGGCATCCCGGAACCCGAAAATCCGAAGCCCCCACCGGCCCCTGCCTCGATTGTGTAGCCCTCTACTCCAGCATAGCCTGATTCTCGGTGGGGTTTCTGGGTTTGGGAAGCTCTACGGTTTAATGTGGGCAGCCTGCTACCTTTTCCTGCTTACGCGGAGCGACGCAGAGCTCTGACACAAAGGAGCCCACATGCAGATCCGAAACCTTCGGCTCTAAATCCTGGAAAAAAAGGCTGCGCACCCGACACCCTGCAAACGAGCAGTACAGTTATACACTATGGACGAGTCTGGGGAGCCGATGGCATTTGACCCATCTAGGCGGAATCTGTCGGAAAGGTTTGTGAGTTCGGGTGTTTGACAAGTTCGGCATTTAGAGTCTTCGTTCCGATGAAGTGTGCACACGCTTGGGGCGTCTCGTGCGTCGCCTTTCCCGGTTCTTGGAGCGTAGAGTGTTTTGGGTGTGGGCTACAGCTGCCTCTCCTGGCGGACTTGGCTTCGGCTCTGGCACTTTGGGTTTCACATGTAGGAACACTACATAAGAATAGCATCAGGAATGTTGGCACTGACCCGAGATCCCAGAACGTCTGACTAGGTACCTTCGAAGGAACCCCGGGTGCAGAACAACATCCATGTGCCCAGTGGCGCTTGTTGCTCTTGATATCTTCTGGAACATCATCTGGAATATCGAACATCGCGTCCAGCGGGTAAATCTTCGCAATCCTTGGCAAAGGGGCTATCGCTCAGAACACGCCGCTCCAAACCTTGAACCGGAAGGTCGTGTGGCAGGCGATGCGACACCCATCGTTAGTTGGCTGTGTGGCGCAGAGCCCCGTCCCAGCATCCTTCCTGCCCCCCCCCCCCCCCCCCAAGCCTGAATAGGAATGTCAACACAGCTTTGCTTTCAACATTCTCAGGCCCTATGATTGCATGGCCGTGACTTCAGGACACAGCAACCCAAAGTGACTTGCAATGCTGATGCAAAAGCGACAGTGCACCAGGAACGGACTGCAACCTGAACCCGAATTTATTTCCGAAGTCCAACAACTAGCCAAATTGGAAGCATCGTAGCCAACCTACAAGTTGCCATGAACCTTCCACGTGGCTGAAACCTTTCGCCGCTTCTTGGACTCCAAACCCGAAGAGTAGAATGAAGTGTGTCTCTGCTGAGGATCTCCATCAGAGATCCATCGTCCAACTTCATGGCCTCCCAAGGAAAGTGTTTGCAGGGTCTAGAACGTTCAAGACCTCAGGTGCACTGCAGCTTGAACCTCAAACTAAGTCCCAGCAGCTCAGTACCCTTCGAGAAATGCAGAGAACGAGAGACACTTTCTCTGCCACGTTGACACTGGAAGTGTGCCTCTTGAGTTGCCTTCTTCTTCAGGGCCATGTTGAACCTGGCTTGTCGCGTCGCAGGCGAATGGCTTTCAGGATTTGGGGCTTCCGGCTCCAGGGGTTCAATGCATCTCTCTCAAACATCTGCGGTGCATGATGTTGATTTCGGAATGAGCGGTCTGATACCAACAGAATGATTGCTTGAGGGCTTTTGTCTTAAACTTGTGGATCGTCTTATGCCTAGAGGCTCCGGGCTCATAGTTTCAGTTCAACAGTCCCCACAGTCCATGCTCATTCTTGTAGCGTCTGTGCACCCGTTTGGTGGTTCGGGCCTATACAAAAACCGAAGCCAGAGGTCCAAACGGTCAACCTCGAACGATGAGCCTTAAACCCCTCTATGGCGAGAGGCATCTTCAGCACGGGTGGCCAAGTGCCCACAATGATGGTCGCGCCTGCATCGGCATCGACTCATCAATGCTTTTAGGGCCTATATGGTTATGTTAGCCCTGAATCTTCCCAGGAGCTGCTTTGGAACCAAGGCGTGCCGGAAAGCGAGTGGAGAGGCCATGGCTCTGAACCCCAACCCCTCCTTTGTTGCATAACAGGGTAAGGCCGCGAAGGCATGGGGGTCTGGAGAAAAGCTTCGGGAATTCAGGTGCAAATTGGATTTCGGCTACTAGGGTTCATGAATCTAGCTGGGGTTGGAGGTCTGACATGCAGGGCTTGGGTGCTTCGGGCAAAGCCTGATGTATGGGGTCACGGCTCTAAGCCTTAGATGATCCTAAACCCTGAAGACCTACACAACAAGAGCCCTATCTAAACCACGTCATACAAGGAGTGAAACTGTAAACCCAAACCGCCAAACCCCCACTCCCTGCGTCGCAACCCCATGAGCACGCCGGCCATGCCTGCGTTGGCCAGCTCCTGGGCTAAGTTGTGCACGTACCAGACAGTAAAAGCGGCTTAAGTTTCTGAGGGTTTAGGATTTGTTTAGGTAAGCGTTTTAGGGTTAGGTTTGCAAAGGTGTAGGAAGACGGATTAGGGGTTTAGGGTTTCAAAACGTTTTCAAAGCATAATGTCGTTGCTGTTGGTGCTGCTTAATCCTATCTGTTGTGAGCATTCAATACCGGTAGTGTGCGAGCCAATATCAACATGTGTACTTTCGATGGTGTTGCTATCGTTGCTGCTTTTTGTCCGACGTCCAATGATGGGAGGATGATTTCAATGCGCAGGACAAGGCTCATGCTCCAACTCCCAGCGTAAAAACGGCATCGCTGATCGATTTCTCAGTGTCCAAAGACGTGAAAACTGGAGAGCAAGAGGTTCGCTCAATCTTTGATCATGTTCCGAATTGCTGTTGTTAAGCATTGTACTCGCGTCTGATGCAGCGCTACTGCTGCAAGTTGTGCTTCTTAGAGTCTTAGAATTCTTCCAAGCCTGATGTCGGCCAAAAGGCCCGAGCAATTGCCCATCCGTATCCCGTGGTGTCCGCAACGCCTCTCTGTCAGCGAGGATTGAGCTTTGGGAACTAGGATTATTGGTGCTAGCGCTACTTTCACCAAATCTTATGAGAGAGCTGCATGAGTGCGAAGCTTAAGCAATGCCTCCAACCTGCTCTAGCTAGTCTCTGGATAAACTTCTTCATGCAAGTAAGTTCTGGGAACATCCACGGCTACACCCTAAAACCGAAATTGCAGACCCCGTTCCCAAACCCCGAACCCGGAAGATTGCATATAAAAGGTTCTCTAGATCAGAGTGACATTGTGATTTCTGGACTCACTACTTCAGGTATCCCGGGTTTACGTGTTGGTTTGAGGAACGGTTTGCGAAGGGAAACGACGCAGGATGTCCTGGGAATCTACTGGCACACATGCTCGGGCTTGCTTAAGGCACGTTGTCTGGCACGTTGCATGTAGAGCGCATCCCTGCACCCAAACTCCAAGTAGGGTTTACGGCCGTCAAGGCCAAGGCTTAAGGCTTAAGGTCTACTGGAGATAGTTGCCGGGAAGCAAACCCATTGCGGAAGTTTCAAGCCGCTCGTCTTCCAACATAGTTTATGAGTACCAGCTTTCGCCAAGACATCATTCGGGCTTCAGTTTCCTTATAGTATGATCTATACCACATAAGGCGGAAGGGTTCAGCGCAAGGCTTGGGGCGTTCCATAAGAGCTTGCCGAGCCGTTGATAGACTGGCAGATTCAGCCTTTTGCCCAAGCGGTTTAAGCACACCAAAATCTACATAACCTAAGCTTACAACGGATTAGGTTTAACAGGCTTGGTCACGGTTACTGGCAGGCTTATCGACCCTGTCCTGCCTGCAATAAAGGCAACCTTTCCGGTAAGGTCCACCGTCATTGCCTGCGGGGCCACATCAGGGTTCGGGCTTGGGCTTATGGAGCCTCTGCATGCCTCAGCCAGGAGCTTCGCAAGGATTCATTAAATGCTTCTAGGACTGAGAAGGGCGTGGTGACTGTAGTCTTTGGGTCAGGAAGCTGTGATTGGAAACCAGGTGTGCTGGCGCCATAGTTCTGTGCATGTTGTTGGCTCTGGAAACAAATTTGGCACGGCTTTCATTTATGCACTGCTACTTGGTGGATCCTCAAAGCTTGAGGCAATGTATAATCCGAGTCATCCTCCCATCCTCCGGACGGCTTGTTTCAGGAATTTGTGCCGCAAATCTGTGGCTGATCAACAATCGCGAAGACGAAGCCAGACTATCATATGTCAGAGAATGATCGTAAAGTGTAAACCCGGATGTCCTTGTGCCCATATTTCGGAGATTGCTCTGCCTCCTGGTCGTCACAATCCAGCATCTTAACCCAAATCCACAAGAATCACAAAGCCCAAAATGGTCAACCATCGGAGACTCAATCGTCCGACCTTATTGGGTACTTGGACCCTTTGGGAAGTATTATGCATTGAAACCTTACACCAGTAAACCCAAAATCCGCCCAACCCCTGCCCTATAACTTGTTTCAGCCCATTGAACCCTAAACCCCTGAAGGCCTTTCGTGCCACACGGCCCCGCGAAGGTAAACGTGGAGCGGTACCAGCGAAGCTGCCGCTTGCAACCTCTGGCACTTCAGGCTGAAAGGTCTTATAGTATTTAAAGTCTTGGAGTTAAGCGCGTTAGGGTTTGAGGGTTCCGGAACTTGACGGTCCATGTCTCAGGTCGCACGTAGAGCGCAGCCTCTAGTCAGTCTAATTTATCGTATGGCACGTGGAGCCAGAGTTTTGCAAGCTATCGTCGTCATCATCATAATAATCATCATCACCGTCGCAGGCAGCCATTCCTGTGCTGCTTCCGCAGAACAGTCCTGACAAAGCCTAAACTAGTTGGCTTGCTTGACCGGTGCAAGTTGCTCTGAACAACCTACCTCGACCTATGACCCCTTCCGGCCTTACCATCCCAAAGCCCAAAGTCCTCATGCGACCCTGAGGGCCGCCGCTGGCCCTGTGGCCTGCGCAGTCAAGCTCCGCCTCTAAGCACCCCGGACTCCAGCCAAACTGAGGCCCCTCCTTCAATCCCAAGGCACCCCGGCGCGCGGCGCGCCAGCGGAACAAAAGGCCGGAGCCTGACTGTGAAGTTTGGGGCTGGTTGAAGCAGCCCTTAAGACTGCCTGCAAACCCCAAAGCCAATGAGTACAGGGGAAGAGCTTAGCTTCTAGTGTCCTGAATAACTGGGGTGTAGGTCTTGGCATCAGTCTGGTTACAAGCATGGGGGGGGCTGTAAGACGATGTCATTACTACGCAACAATTCAGGCCTCTATATCATGTCTAGAGTCTAAGGGCATGTGGCGCAATGCTTACAGACGCATCAAAGAGTCTCGAGCCTGCAAGGACGTTTTGAGGCTCCGGTATTGCATCCTAGCCTTGCGAGGTTCCCGGCAAAGCAAACCTTCCAAGGCAAAATTCGAAAGGCCATACATCGTGTCCACGAAAAGCACAAAACGCTCCGGAAACGCTGATTTGTGAAGCTGTGCAAAATCTACACCCAACCTGAACCTGTTAAGGAGGCTGGCCGAGAACCTCTGCAAGATATGGCCTGCTATGCCTCGATTTTTGCTCTACAACCTGCAAACTTGAACCGTGCTCAATCGGAATCGACATTCAAATTCTTGAACCCAACACTGGCGTCAACCCAAACCTTGACAGCACCCCAAACCCCCCAGTGCCAAGCCCGAAGCTCTCAACTCCAGCTCCTGAGCTGAATGAAACCTCGGCTCAAAACGGAATGTAAGGCCGGCACCCAATTGACACACCAAAGGGCTAAAGCGCCTGACTCGAAGAGTAGGATTTTCGAGTTCAGGGATGTAGGAATGATTAGGTTTTTCTTGGTGGTTTTGGGGTATGCTGAGCTTCTGCAAGCTCCTTTTGGGTTTGCATGGGCTTGCCAACCACATGTTCGTGTGCCCTTAACATGTGTGGGTCCCCGGCTCCACGTGCATACTTGTTTTTTAGGGGCCCCGTCTTTGTAGTGCCCCGTCTTTGCTCGTCATGGCATTGGTTTCGCACCTGTACGTTTTACATTTAGACTACCCTTTAGAAGTAGAGGATAAAGATAGCCTGGGCGGGTCAGCCCGACATAATCATCACCGGTTTCAAGACTCAAGGTCAGTGAACACGTTCTCAAAAACCAGGAGGCCTACAACAACCCGAGTGGCTGGTGTGCCGAACATCAGCCAAAAACCATTCGGCCCGTACAACGGCAACTCAAGCAGAAGTACCCTATGACACTAAGACGCTAGTCCACGCTTTCATCATGATTTGCCGTGTCAACTTCATGCGTAAATCCTGAAGAATGAACCCTTACATGCCACATCCTCGACTCGTCCTCGACACTAAACATATCTGAATTGCAATCCCGAAACCTACGCATTCCGGAAGACCTGCATAAAGCCCAAAACATCCTTCAAGTCCAGGCTCTTGTGGTTTAGTTTAGGGGCCGGAATATTTGAAATAGGGTTGGGGGATCGATGGATATGATGAGTATGGGGACTGTAGCAGGATACTCTTACTACGTAACCACAGACCCTAGTATTATGCCCAAGTTCTGCCCCGCCTGCCACGGCGAGCCGCAAGAAGCCCGGGCCATTCCGAGGCGGCATCCTACCTGGCTGGCTCTAGAAGTTCCGGGATGCCCTAAACCCTAAACCCCGAAACCCTAAAACCTAAACCCTAAACCAATACCGCAAAACTCGAAATCAATGTGACAGTCATGCCCTTTTGCCCCAAACCTTCCGCACTCCCAATGTTTTCACAACATCTGTAGGAACTATGTATGCAGAAGCTTCTGAGATTGTCAGCCATGATTGTAAATCTTTGAACAGTTATTTCTTCAGTTAATGTTAATCTCTGTCTTCGCTTGTTCTGCATGCTTGGGTTCGTTCTTCATCCAATCATAATTTTGATAATCCTTTCCGGCTTCGTGTTTCTTCATTTTTCCAACATTCCTCTCTTCACCCCTGATTCAATCATCATTTTGATCACCCCTGATTCAATCATCATGGTGTTCATGATTTGTTCGTCATTTGAACCAACATTTATTCTTCATTGTCCTCGCCCGCGGGCCTGGGGGAGGTCATGCGGAGGGGCTAGAGCGGAGCATGAAGAAAACATTAAGATTTCCTAGGGAAATGTTCATTAATTCTTCAGTTTCTTCTTCATTTCAATCATCATTTATTCTTCATTTTACTCGTCAGCAGGCCTGGGGGATGTCCTGATGAGGGGCTGGAGCGGAAACATGAAGAAAACATGAGACAACATGATGATCAGAATGAAGATTGAGATGATGATATGAAGTGGGACGGAGATGAAGACAAAGAACAAATGATGATCAACATGAAGATTGAAAAGATGATATGAAATGGGACCAAGATGAAAACGAGGATATATGATGATGAACATGAAGAAATTATTCTTTGAGATCGCCACCGTCTGTCCATCAAAGAGTCTCATAAGCCTAAGCCTTAAGCCTCAACATCCCAAACTATGCGCCTCCAAGCAACCCTGAAACCAAGGGTTCAGGGGTTTCACGACTTGAAGGGTCCGGGGTCTTAAGGCTTCGGGTTTGAGGGTTTCAGATGGTTCCAGAACCCACAGACCTGAATCCTCCCCCCTATTCTGAAACCCGTCGCTACCACCGGACCAGCAGAGCCTGCGGGCTTGGGGAAGAGCAGAAGGTCTTCGCTGAGCCAAGACAGAGGTCGGCGAAACGTCCAGGACATGCTGGAAACTTTGGGGTGCACGACCCTTCGTGCTTCTGGGCTTAGGGCTTCAGACCTTACGCGGTGTTTCTGAGAGGATATCAGCATCACCTTTCGCCGATTTCTACATTGTGTACACAGCATGGGGCATGTTTTCGGATGTTTTGGAAAAAAGTATGATGTGCCACACGTGCTGATTACGATTTGACACTTGGTTCTATGCCAATTTGCACTTGTTGGTCTAAGATTCGCTAGAAGAGGGCTTTGCGGGCATCTGTTATATCGGGATCTTTATCTATATCTGCATCAATAACTCTCGCTTCTTCAACAACCAGGCCCAAAAAAGTTCAAACTTTTTAGCATAGACCTAAGATATAAGGCCAAAAAGCTTAAAGTTCTCCTATTGGCTATCTAAGAACTTCTTACATCTGCATCATTTTGTTTCGATACTCCGTCGAGCACAGAGGAATTCCTGGCCATCCGGCTGCACATCTGCAATCATCAACACTCTATGCCATACCCTGAAGCTCATAATGTTATGAGGCTCGTGGTTATCGAAACTGTTTGGGGATGTGCAGGTGCACGCTCCGGAAATGCGGTTTCAGGAATTGGTTTGGAGCTCTCACCCACCCCTACAGACTGAAGCTTCCTTTCCGGTGTGTGCGGCCGAGGTGCAGGCTTTGCGGTTACAGTGTGCACGCTTTCGGATTTGCCGGTGGAGGATTTCTGATCAAGCAGCCGGTGCCTCCCCATTCCGTAGTCGCACGAGCCAACCTCGGAGAAACCAACTGCTCGCTACAGCCTTTGTATACCCGAAATCCGGGAAACCCCACCCAAAAACCCGCAGACTCCAAACCCAAGAGCACTAAACTGCCCTGAGCCATAAAGACTAAACCCTAAACTCTGAAACTCTAAACCTGTGCTTTCACACTGAGACGCCCTGGGCCCAGAATTCCCGTCATGAGGACTTTCTATTCTTACCCTTTGTTTGCTTGAATGTTCGTGTTTCGGGTTCGGCGGTTAGGAGTTCAGGGCTTGGGGGTGGAGGGCCTAGGGTCAAGTCTATGCAGGGCTACACCTTGTCGTTCGAGCCGCTCTTGAGAAGCAGTTGATTTCTGCGGCCTTACAAACAAGAACAGGGTCTTGGGGTTCGAAACCCTGAACCCCCAACTCTAACTCTAAGCACTATACACCCTAGTAACTCATTGTTTCGACCCCTGCTCCAAGTCACGGCCCGAGTCGGTGTTGAAGCGCAGGGCGATTCCCACCTCACCGTTCAGCTCGGGAGCAGCCTGCTGCAAGGCTTTACAGGGATAATTGAGCCTGTCGTGGTTTAAATGCGGCTTTGAGGTGAAAGGGCTTCATGAGTGTCCAAGCGAAGCGCATCCTAAGCCCTGCACCCGAGAAGCTTAAGGCCCTAAATCCTACACCCTAACACACTCTGCACCCTAAAACCCTGAAACCTACACCAGGTCGGTGTTAAGGAAGCTGACTAAGGTCATGAACACTTTTAGAAGCTTGCGCTCGGGCTTAATTAAGAAGGGTGCTGTGTTTCCAGCTTTCACCATGTAGTGGTTTGGAGTGCAAGAGACATTTGGATTTGGGGTTTAGCAGTACTGCAGTGCGTAGTGCATCGTCAAGGCTCGGTGCTTGCAGGAATCTATTGGAAACCGTGCGACTTACATATTGAGATTTTGGAAGTCGAAAGCTACTGATGAGAACTGCGACAGAACGCCCTGAAGCATTTGCCTTCAGATCACGGAGCCGGACGGTCTGCCCTCCGTGGATGCCGCCCTCGGCCTGTTCAGGGTCACGGTGCTTGGGTTTCCTGGTTCGGCTAAAACAGAAGTTGGAGTCGAAGATGTGACTCAGGGCCCCGGAGGGTACCCTAGCTCCCTGAACTCAGACAGTTGAACTTGGTCCAATCGGAAAATGTTCAGGCGACATAACGCACGAAGCTGCCAGGAAGCCATCCGTGCAACTCTACATCCCAGGCTGAATCAGCTTTGGGATGCGGGATTGAATCTGAAGTCCTCATACAACCCGACACCCTGAGCCAAGTTCCCCTAAAAATCCTACAGCCTCAGCCCGGAGATACTGGCGAAGCCTCTAAAACTTTGAACCCTGAAGCGCTGAAGCCTTAAACCTAAACTTCCTAAATACGAAACCCTGAAACCCTGCACCCTTGAATCCTCAACTCTAGATCTGAAGGTCTATTGAACCTTCAGATGCGTGAAAATTAAGGGATTTTGGGCCGGAGAACGAACAATCAGGCAAGACTCCTCTTTTTCAAGCGGCTTCTGCTTTTCATGGGGCCCGTTCGTGCTTGCTCAATTCAAGCTCCGGCGCACCCTCAACCTCGAACGGTAGACTCTAACGTGCCTCGCCGCGAGAAGCTGCGCGGTTGAAGGCCTTCGGCAGCCATCGAGTAGGTGTGCCGTCAATGCTAAAACCGTAACACCATAAACGTAGAAGCCCTCAACACTAAATCACAATCCTGGATCCAGCCTTAGCCGTTTGTTTGAAACTCGGCTGGCGTCCATGGTATCTGCAACGGGTATGCAGCTGCGAAACATGCCTCATGTCGTCGGGACCTCAAAAGACACCAAATTCGTAAGAACCTCCACTTTTGATTTTGTTTCCCCTTTGAGCCCAGTTTACAGCAAAGCCCTATTGTTATGTAGGATTTCGAGGACGCAGCTCAGGGACTTAGGTTAAGGGTTGAATAATACACCAGAGCCCTAAAGCCTAAACCCTAAAAAGCCGAACATCTCTAAACCCGAGATCCTGCCGGGCTGAGGCATGCACGAGTTCAACAGCTTTCTCCAGGCTCTTTGTGACCTTGGCAGGTTTAGGGCCCAGGGTGGGGAGTCGAGGGTATTAGAAGGCATGACTTATTCAGGTTCCCTATAGGGGCCCAACTTTTTAGGAGTCTGCAATGGGTCGCGTCACTCTTGTCTATGTTTTACTCAGAACCCGAGATCTGCATCTATCAAGGCTCTAGCTGTCCAGCCACAGCCGATGCCACCGAGAACAATGCAACACATCCTGAGATGCAGTCCGGACTTTCGG